TTCTTTATACAGTGGACGGGCTAACCACTCTGCCACAGTACAGTGTTCATGATTCATTTCCGTTGGCATCTTCAAACCTCAATGTGCTCTTTGTGAAGCCATTCTCAGATGAACTTTGACCTTTGGGGCTCAGGGCAGACACAAAGAGAGCTTTTTCCGATTTAGGAAATGATGCCAGATTTTTTATTCCCCTGTTGTATCGACGGACATCTCTCTGTATTTTTATCAGTCTGTTCCCAGCTCCCAGAGACTGAGGAAAGAAATAGACTGAGGAAGTGTCAATCACAGCGTTCGGCTCCAGTCAAATGAGGCTCATCGAGGTCTGCGGTTACAGCGGTGAATCTGTAACCGGGGACTGTATCTGGAGACTGGAGCGTGAAACCAAAGAGTCGATCAGGAGAGAGGCTTTTGCTACCGCTGCATGACATCACAAGGTGGAGCAGAGCATCCTCCTCCTTTCTCCTCTCTTCTCTCTGTCCTCTTCCTCTCTCACCTTCTCTCTGCCCTCATCTCTCTCTCTTTCTCTCCTTCTCTCTCTCTCTTCTCTGTCCTCCTCTCTCTCTCTCATCTTCTCTTTCTCTGGCCTTTGCTCTCTCCTCCTCTCCCTCTCTTTCCTCCACTCTCTCTCTCTCTCTTCTCCTTCTCTCTCTCTCATCCTCTCTTTTTCTGGGCTTTTCTTTCTCCTCCTCTCTCTCTCTTTCGTCCACACTCTTTCCTTCTCTCTCCTCCTTTTCTCTTTCCTCTATCCTTCCTCATCCTCTCTTTCTCTGGCCTCCTCTCTCTCCCTCCTCTTTCTCTTTCCTTCTCTCTCCTCTCTGTCCTTTCTCCTTCTCACTCTCTCATCCTCTCTTTCTCTGGACCTTTTCTTGCTCCTCCTCTCTCTCTCTCCCCTTCTCTCTCTCTTTTACCCTCTTTCCCTCCTCTCTCTCGTCTCTCTGTCTCATCCTCTCTTTTTCTGGACCTCTTCTCCTCTCTCTCTTCTCTCTCTCCTCTCTCTCTCTCTCTCTTTTACCCTCTTTCCCTCCTCTCTCTCGTCTCTCTGTCTCATCCTCTCTTTTTCTGGCCTTTTCCTTCTCCTCCTCTCTCTTTCTTCCTCGCTCTTTCCTTCTCTCTCTTCTCTCATCCTCTCTTTCTCTGGCCTCCTCTCTCTCTTTTCTCCTCTCTCCTCTCTGTCCTTTCTCCTTCTCACACTCTCATTCATCCTCTCTTTCTCTGGCCTTTTCCCCCCTCTCTCTCGCCTCCTTCTTTCTCTCTTCTCTGTCCTCTCTCCTTCTCGCTCTCTCATCCTGTCTTTCTCTGGCCTCCTCTCTCTCCCTCCTCTCTGTCTTTTCTCCTTCTCACTCTCTCATCCCCTCTCTCTCCTCATCTCTCTCGCCTCCTCTCTCCGTCTTCTCCAATCTCTCTCTCCTCACCTATTCTCTCTCTTCTCCTCCTCTCCCTCCTTCCCCTCTCTTCTCCTCATCTCTCTCACCTCCTCTCTCCCTCTTCTCCAATCTCTCTCTCCTCTCCTATTCTCTCTCTTCTCCTCCTCTCCCTCCTTCCCCTCTCTTCTCCTCATCTCTCTTGCTCTCTCCCCCTGTCTCCCTCTTCTCCTATCTTTCTCTCTCCTCTCCCTCTCTCCTCTACTCTCTCTCTCTCCTCTCCCTCCTCTCCTCTCCCTCTCTTTTTCTTTCTGTCTCCTGTTGTAGTTTCCATGTCCCGCTGCTCTTGGCTCGCGTTTGTGTCTCGCTGTGGATCCACAGATGGTCCGAACAGAACCGGCTCCAGCTCAGAGAGACCACCATTTTACCTCGAGCGGCGCCGGGGGAAAGGGACCAAAATATCTGTAAATCACCGGGCTCGGGGACGGGAGGGAGTCGACGCGGCTGAGTTTTCATTGGTTCACGCCGGAGCGGATCTGTTCGGTCTAAATCAATGGGCAAGAGAACGAGTCACGCCAAGTAAAAGACGACAAAAAGCAAATCAAAACGTAAAATAACTTGACCTGATCTTGTGATAAACCGCTGTATTTCCATTTTTTACAATTTATACATTTGAGTTATCACTAGGGGTGTGCAAAAATATCAAAATATCGATATATCATATAGTTTAATGTGATGATATCATGAGCTGCTGTATCGATATATCACCAAGAGGATTTTTTGGTGTATTTTGCTAAATTATTTTGTTACAGCTACAGTTTTGTTGCTTGTTCAGAGGAAGGAAACTTGTTTATGCGACACATTTGTCATTTTCACTGTTTTGATGATTAAAATGTTTGTGTTTCATATGAACTTTGCACAAAAAGTGGTTTAACAAAGACCACGATTTAGCCTTTATTTTTTATTTAATCATATCAAATCAACTGGAAATATATCGTACTGAATCATATCGAATCGAAAACTCAGTGTATCGAGGTATTATTGTGTCGGCATCTTCCAGGGTTTCTACTCTTTTTCACTGACAAAATTTCAAAAGTTTTCCATGACTTTACAGCACCTACACGTGTACAATTGATCAGACTTTTAGAACTAAATATGAAATGTTAACTCTTTTCACTCACCTTATGGTTTGGGATTATAGTTTTTGAACATTCATAATCCTGTCAGTGCATTTATTGTCGTCTCTTTTAAACAAAAGGTGCAGATGTTCGAAAATAATCATAATAGTCTCACGAGAACTTAACAGAACGATGTAGTTGCGTGAAAGAGATACGATAAGGCTTCGTTTATATGACGACGGTCTGAACAGAAGACGCAAAAGCGGCGTCGCGTCTTCACTTTTTATTTCGCGTTTAGATGAGTGGTTTCGGGAGGAAATCTGCGTGCATACGGTGACGCAAAAGTGTGTGGAATTCGATCGTGTATGCATGCACGCCATCCGACGTGTTTGTTTCTGTGAACTGTTTGTAAGTGACGTAAACGTGTACGCGATGTGACCAGATGTGACCAGAGTTTTGCGTCTTGGGCAGTGTAGACAGAAACTTTACGACGAAGCAAATTCAACTTTTCCACTCTGGAGGTGGTTTCAGATTTTTGCGTTTTTAAGCCCCAAAACGGCGTCACCGTCTAAATGAAACGCATTTCTGATCAAATATTTTGCTGTTTTTTCTTTTTCTCGTGTAAACAGGTCCTCAGATTCCAAAACTTTTCCAAAATTTCCATGACCGTGGGAACCCTGAACTTCTTAACAACACCCAGCCTTAGTTTAGTTTCACTCTTTTTTTAGACAATAGAACATGATTTTCAACATTAAATCACAGTACTGTCTTTTCTATTCCCATTTGTCCTAATATCTGTGTAATCCTCAGTGGTCCATGGGCGTACAATCCCCTCAAACTTATTCTGAAACAGCTCAAAATCATTCTAAACACACTCGGGAAAGCTTCATTTCTGTCCTGTCAGCGGAACTTTTTCAGCATCGATACTTGATCTGATTTGAAGGTAGGTTTAGCGTTAAATAAACCTGACAAACGGTGCAACTGACCCTTTGCTCTCGTGCCCTGATTCGCTTAACTCCGCCCATCTGCGGTGCCAAATGTGACCAAAACAAACACGCAGATTAGGCACAGTTCAGACGAGGGCACCGTGCTACAACAGGATTAACGCAGAAGGCTAATCAGCTAAAAACACGGGGCGCTTTGCTCAATGAACACGCTTAAGAGAAATGTATGACTGACCTAATAACAGCCACACTAGACACGCTTTGGGAAGGAATTCTGGTCTCTCTTTAGCCTGGAAAATCCACACTTAATTTGATGATACAGTATCGATATCATGGGCTGCTGTATCGATATATTGCCAAGAGTATTTTTAGGTATATTTTACTTAATTATTTTGTGTAAGAGCTCCAGTTTTGTTGATATTTTCACTGTTTTGACGAGTAAAATGGCCGTTTTTCATATTAACTCACAAACCTTGTAGACTTTGTAGACTTTTAGTATCACGGCGACAATTTAAGATTTGTTTTTCACTGAAGTGTATCTCTATCCTTGGTCTTATTTTGGCATTTTTGTGTATATTTATTAAAAAATTGAACTTTTAAGTCAAAGTCGTGTCTGTATCGGCCTCTTTAGGATCAACTACGGCCAGGACTTTTGAATTTTCAGGTTGGATGAGTCAGATCCAGGGTTATTATGTGGCGAGCGCAGCCACCAGTCTAAACCAGGACTAAACCAAGACTAAACCAAGACTAAACCAAGACTAAACCAGGGCTAAACCAGGACTAAACCAGGCACTAAACTAGAACTAAACCAACACATAAACCAGCACCTAAACCAGAACTAAACCAAGACTAAACCAGGACTAAACCAGGACCTAAACCAGGGCACTAAATTAGAACAAAACCAGGACTAAACTAGGACTAAACTAAGACTAAACTAGGGCTAAACCAGGACTAAATCAGGCACTAAACCAGGGCTAAACCAGAACTAAACCAGGCACTAAATTAGAACTAAACCAGGGCTAAACCAGGACTAAACCAGGCACTAAACTCGAACTAAACCAGGGCTAAACCAGAACTAAACCAGGCACTAAACTAGAACTAAACCAGGGCTAAACCGGGACTAAACCAGGACTAAACCAGGACCTAAACCAGGCACTAAACTAGAACTAAACCCACACCTAAACCAGCGCCTAAACCAGAACTAAAAAGGACTAAACCAGGGCTAAACCAGGGCTAAACTAGAACTAAACCAATACCTAAACCAGGACTAAACCAGCCGTGTCTGAATCAGCCTCTTTAGGATCAACTATCGTTACATCCGTCGTCTCCGGTGATTTTTTTTTCCTTTCTTAATAATCAACCATTTTGTTTTGTTGCGGACGGACCGTGCTCGTCTCTGATTGGCTAATCCACCTGTCAATCACTCCCACCTGATTCACCATTGACTCACATCTTCATAAAATATTGAAGCAGTTTGTTTTCTGGTTTTCTTTCTTACCTCTTTTGTGCATGTTTTTCTAAGCTGAAATGTAAATCTTTAATTTTTTTTTACACACGTCGATTGTTTTTTCGAGTACCTTCTGTGCTGAGTCCGGGGCTGGAGGTAAAACTGGCCACATCGACGATCTTCACCGCAAACTGCTGCCCCGTGTCTCTGTTGATGCAGCGGCGCACCACACTGAACGGACCCCTGAACACACACACACACACACACGGACAGAGTTAGAGATGGAGAGTAAATACAACAAGGTCAAAACTGTGTGTACTTTGGGTTTATTGTATGAAGACTGCGGGGCTCAGAGACGGGGGTGAAAATGCCTTTTTACGAGATATTGACTTTTTGTGCAGTTTCGGTTCAAGTTTTAAACCCGGCCAGGAGGAGACGGAAATCTGAGCTGTTCGACTAATCCAAGAATTTCAGAACATGTTTGTAGAGGTCTGGACTACAGGGCTGTGTAGGTCTAAACCAGGACTAAACCAGGACTAAGCAAGGTCTAAACAAGGTCTAAACCAGGTCTAAACCAGGACTAAACAAGGTCTAAACCAGGACTAAACCTGGACTAAACCAGGACTAAACCAGGACTAAACCTGGACTAAACCAGGACTAAACCTGGACTAAACCTGGACTAAACCAGGACTAAACCAGGACTAAACAAGGTCTAAACAAGGTCTAAGCCAGGGCTAAACTAGGTCTAAACAAGAACTAAACCAGGACCTAAACCAGGACCTAAACCAGGCACTAAACTAGAACAAAACCAGGACTAAACCTGGATTAAACCAGGACTAAACCAGGACTAAACCTGGACTAAACCAGGACTAAACAAGGTCTAAACAAGGTCTAAACAAGGTCTAAGCCAGGGCTAAACTAGGTTTAAACAAGAACTAAACCAGGATCTAAACCAGGACCTAAACCAGGACTAAACCAGGGCTAAACCAGGCACTAAATCGGGCACTAAATCAGGACTAAACCAGCATAAAACTAGAACTAAACGAATACCTAAACCAGAGCCTGAACCAGAACTAAACCAGTTCTAAGACAGGACTAAATCAAGTCTACAACAGGACTAAACCAGGTCTAAACCAGGACTAAACCAGGTCTACACCAGGACTAAACCAGGAACTAAATCAGGACTAAACCAGGTCTACACCAGGACCTAAACCAGGACTAATCTAGGATTAAACCAGGGCTAAAATAGAACTAAACCAATACCGAAACCAGAGCCTAAACCAGGACTCAACCAGGACATATTCAGGACTTTTAAAGCAAGTACATATGAACTTTTCAATTAATAATAAAATAATAAAGAGCCTCATGTTTCAGAATATTTCAGAACAAGTTTGTAGAGATTTAAACTACAGGGTGAGCAGCTTTTACACAGAATAAAACCCCAAAGACTCAGGGACTTTAACTCTTAACGTGAACATTATAATATCTAAATAACTGCAGGATCCTGTCTTGGCCAAAACAGGTTACACAGACTTTAGAACACAATAGTTATTTTTCTAGCTGAGAATAATAATAAAAAAAAAAAAAAAAAAAAAACGTGTACTGAGTCGAGCAGTTCCACATTCGTACAGATTAAACGGAGCAGAGTAAAATCGTTTTCATGTGACTGGTGTTTCTCTCAGATCAATGAGGAGTTAGTAACGTAAACTACAATCAATATGAAAACCAATACAAGACCAAAACAACAACACCAGAGGTCATTATGAACTGAACCAGGACTGAACCAGGACTAAACCAGGACTGAACCAGGACTGAACCAGGACTGAACCAGGACTGAACCAGGACTAAACCAGGACTGAAACCAGGACTGAAACCAGGACTGAACCAGGACTAACCAGGACTAAACCAGGACTGAACCAGGACTGAACCAGGACTAAAACAGGACTAAACCAGGACTGAGGACTGAAACCAGGACTAAACCAGGACTAAAACTAAACCAGGACTAAACCAGGACTAAAACAGGACTAAACCAGGACTAAACCAGAAAAACAGGACTAAACCAGGACTTAAAGGACTAAACCAGGACTAAACCAGGACTAAACCAGGACTGAACCAGGACTGAACTAGGACTATACCAGGACTGAACCAGGACTAAACCAGGACTAAAGCAGGACTAAACCAGGACGAAACCAGGACTGAACCAGGACTGAACCAGGACTAAAACAGGACTGAACCAGGACTAAACCGGGACTAAACCAGGACTAAACAAGGACTAAACAAGGACTAAACCAGGACTAAGCTAGGACTGAACCAGGACTAAAAAAAAGGCTAAACCAGGACTAAACAAGGACTGAACCAGGACTAAAACAGGACTGAACCAGGACTAAACTAGGACTATACCAGGACTGAACCAGCACTGAACCAGGACTGAACTAGGACTATACCAGCACTGAACCAGGACTGAACTAGGACTATACCAGGACTGAACCAGGACTAAACCAGGACTAAACCAGAACTGAAACAGGACTATACCAGGACTGAACTAGGACTATACCAGGACTACACCAGGGGCAAAACCAGGACTGAACCAAGGGGCTAAACCAGGCCTAATCCAGGACTGAACTAGGACTTAATCAGGACTAAACCAGGACTAAACCAAGGCAGAATGAGGACTAAACCAGGACTAAACAAACGCTAAACCAGGACTAAACTAGAACTAAACCAGGAACTGAACCAGGCCTGAACAGTGATTAAATAAGAACTAACCCCGGACTGAAACAGGACTAAACCGGGACTAAACGGGGTCATTTACAGTGAGCTCGGGTGCAGCAGGTTAAATTACAGAGTTCACTTGAGCCCAAAGACTAAACACAGACTGAACGGGCTGTTAACGGGGATATTTGGGGAGAATGACGCAAAGAGAGACTAAAGCTGCTATTACACACACGGAGCTAAAACAAAACTCCAAAGAACAAATCTACACGAGGATTATTTACACACATACTGAAACAAATGTACACAGATCATTATGGATACGGAGAATTTGATCATTTTAATTGTATTATCGTAACTGTCGGCCTTAAATCTAAAATCACATTTGTTTTGGTCGATCTGCGGCCGATAAAACAAACACAAAGCTTCATTTTAAGACTTTAATATGAAGAAAAAGATGCACAAAATGTTACGAGACAGATCATTTATAGGTTTAAGAAAAAGTATCCTCCTTCAGAAGCTGTAATTCCAAAATGCACTGATTAAATGACACTAAACCAGGACTAAACCAGATCTAAACCAGATCTAAATCAGGTCTAAAATAGTTCTAAATCAGATCTAAATTAGGTCTAAACTAGCTCTAAACCAGGACTAAATCAGGTCTAAACCTGGACCTAAACCAGTTCTAAACCAGGTCTAAATCAGCTCTAAACCATTTCTAAACCAGGACTAAACCAGGTCTAAACCAGGTTATACCAGGATTAAACCAGGTCTCAAGCAGGATTGAACTAGGCCTAAACCAGGTCTATACCAGTATTAAATGAAGGACTAAACCAAGAACTAAACCAAGGACTAAACCAGACCTTAACCAGGTCTCGACCAGGACTAGACCAGACTAAATCAGGACTGAACCAGGGACTAAACCAGGGACTAGAGCTGGACTAAAAGAGGACTAAACTAGAGACTGCACCATCCAGAACCTGACCAGGACTAAACTAAGAGTAAACTAGTACTAGACCAGCACTGAACCAGGACTAAAACAGGACTGACCAGGATTCAACCGGGACTAGACCAGGACTAGACCAGGACAAGACCAGGACTGCAGGACAGATGTTTTTAGCACAGAGGTGATGTGGACGTGAGGAGACAGAGTCGTTGTTCTAAACCTGCTGCTGTGAAAACTCCACTTCACTGAACCATTTAGAGTCGACATGTAAACGACTTTATCAGAGAAGTGACAAGTTTATGAAACGAACTTTTGTCACATCGTCACTTTGAGTTTGAGATGTTTATCAGACGATCATATAAAAAATACAAAATCATCAACAGAATCATTTTGACATAAATTATTCATACATAAATTGCGCAGCCCAGTTCACATTTTGTACGTGTTTAATTTAATAATATTTTTGCTCTTAGGTTTAGTCCTGTCTGGTCCTGATTTAGACCTGGTTTAGATCTGGTTTAGACCTGGTTTAGACCTAATTTAGAACTGATTCAGGTCCTGGTTTAGACCTGGTTTAGTCCTGGTTTAGAGCTAGTTTAGTCCTGGTTTAGTTCTGGTTTAGTCCTGGTTCAGTACCTGGTTTAGACCTGGATTAGACCTGGTTTAGACCTGGTTTAGTCCTGGTTCAGTCCTGGTTCAGTCCTGGTTTAGTCCTGGTTTAGTCCTGGTTTAGTCCTGGTTTCAGTCCTGGTTCAGTCCTGGTTTAGTCAGTCCTGGTTCAGTCCTGGTTCAGTCCTAGTCCTGGTTCAGTCCTGGTTTCAGTCCTGGTTCAGTCCTGGTTCAGTCCTGGTTTAGTCCTGGTTCAGTCCTGGCTCAGTCCTTGGTTCAGTCCTGGTTCAGTCCTGGTTCAGTCCTGGTTCAGTCCTGGTTCAGTCCTTGGTTCAGTCCTGGTTCAGTCCTGGTTCAGTCCTGGTTCAGTCAGTCCTGGTTCAGTCCTGGTTCAGTCCTGGTTCAGTCCTTGGTTCAGTCCTGGTTCAGTCCTGGTTTAGTCCTGGTTCAGTCCTGGTTCAGTCCTGGTTCAGTCCTGGTTCAGTCAGTCCTGGTTCAGTCCTGGTTTAGTCCTGGTTCAGTCCTGGTTCAGTCCTGGTTTAGTCCTGGTTCAGTCCTGGTTCAGTCCTGGTTCAGTCCTTGTCCTGTTCAGTCCTGGTTCAGTCCTGGTTCAGTCCTTGGTTCAGTCCTGGTTCAGTCCTGGTTTAGTCCTGGTTTACAGTGACTTTCGTTGACTGTGTCTGTATCACGTTGGTGCTAAAATCACTAAAAGTGCCAAAACCATTTGCCTTCCACATCTGAATAAACAAAAACGTGTTATAAAAAAAAAAAAAAAAGGCGCGAAAGTGAAGAAAAACAACAGGGGAATCCAACCCCCAACCCCGCGACCTCTGACCTCTGCACAACAGCTGTGATCCTCATTAGAAATGAGAGATGTGACATTTGGAAACAAAACAGAAAAAACAAAATGAAAAACCGTGTGAAAAATGTGAACCTGGCAACAACCGATCATTACATTATGTGACAATTATTTTTT